GTGAGACTCCAGCTCAAAAAAAAAAAAAGAAAAGAAAAATATATATCCTGCTGTGATGGATGTGCTATAGATGTCTGTTGGATATCTTGGCTAAGAGTGTTGTTTTAGTACTCTGTGCCCTTTCTGACCTTCTTTCAAGTTGTTCTATCCACTATTGAAAGTGGAATATTGAAATCATCTATTATTGTTGAACTTTACATTTCTCCTTTCGGTTCGTACACTTTTGCTTCATGTGTTTTGGTGCTCTGTTGTTAGGTGCACATATGTTTTCAATTGTTATGTCATCCTGATGAATGGACCCTTTTAATATTACTGAATGTCCCTCTTTAGTGTTGCTAACATTTCTTGTTTTAAAGTCTATTTTGTCTGATGTTAGTATAGCCACTCCAATTTTTTTTGTGGTTGCTCCAAAGCTCTGTTTTAGATAGTCAAAGGCTTTGATGGGTCACGTAAGTCTGTGAAGAACTTGCTTCTTTTCTTCTTCTTCTTCTTCTTTTTTTTTGTTCATATTTCAAATAAAATATTTTACCAAACAACAAATTCTTCTTGAGTATTAGGCATGGTCCACAACATGAAGACCTGCATGATGTGAAAACTCTTATCCAGACAGACCCCTCTTCAGGAAATTGACTAATTAGGTTTTCATCTTAAATCCTCAATGAACAAAAACCTCACCCTCCTTTAAAATGACGAGACGTCCTCAGGACCAGGGTTTAGAGGTAAGGAAAATACAATTAAAAAAAAGAAATCAAGAAAAAACGTTTATAAAAATCTACATGTGCTAGAAAACAAGATGTTTACTCTTGAATCTCTCTTCAAGTCAGAAGCGCTTCTGAAATTTTGGGGGTCATTCACTTGCTCTGAACCCAACAGAACTCCCAGGTGATGCCAGTTGGAAATGGAGCAGAATGAGGATGGCATGTTGGGATACCTATGTCTGTGCACCTTACTGGGCCACAGTGATTAGTGATTACAGATTTCAAAAGGAAAAAAACAGTTCAAAAATATGCATAATTCCATTCTGAGCAAGGGTCACTGTTTGATCTTTTCCTGTGTCCAAGCCCACCCGTTGTCCTGAAGGATAAGTGACAGCCCAGATACTCCCATCGGACGAGAAAACCTCATATTCTGTGCCAGTTTCCTGTCACTGCTTTGAGCTCGAAGAGTTCAGAGAGGTGAGGGCAGCATGACCTCTACCTAGCTGTGCCCTGGCACGGGTCCCTGGTGACAGTGTGTCTGAGCTGCCAGGACACCGGCAATCTTTGGAACAGCTCTTCCTCACCCTTTTAACAACCAGCCAATTTGGTCTCAGGAAACCACTCTGCAGTGTTGGCTGAGTTTGGAAGTCATTTTTAATTCTGTGACAAAGACAAATGTATCCTATGGGAGTAGTAAGTGCTTTTTACTGGTGATATTAATGGAACCATGACCTCTTCTGTATCTATGGTCCTACCAAACAAAATATGTTTGTATTATATGTCAGGCAAGCTCATTCTTAGCCCTTCCTTAAAGCAAATTGCAGAGGAAATATACTATTAATAAGCCCAGGGAGTAGTGTGTGTGTGTGTGTGTGTGTGTGTGTGTGTCTACAATCATAAACTCATTTGTAGACACAGTGGATTTAGATTTATAATGCCACTACTGACTGTCACACAAATGATATGTTTTGAGTTGTGTTAGGATGGACACAAATCATTGGCGTTCTCATGTCTTTGAATCAGAATTTCAGGGGCTCAGTGCTGAAATTGGTATTGGCTTTTAAAGGCCAATAACTATAGTAAATTGTAAATGTTTGGGGTACCCAAAATAACAAAAGGAAAGAAGAAATTTAAAGTCATAGTGAATTAGCCTCTTCCATTTTCATTTGGGACTGGCATTCATTAGCCTAGAAATGACTGTACTGGTGTATACTATTTCCTGTAGGAACGTTTTATGCCAGTGTCCTTTGTTGAAAACAGTTGCTTAAGGAGACAGTAAATTAAGTATGAAGGATTTACAGTTTAGTTAAATGAATTAAACCATTTCCTGATGTTTGTGTTTACTTTGGGACTCACAAAAGAGACAAAAAAATAGATGCACAGGAGGAAGGAAAGAAGTGATCAAATCCCAATAGTCCCTGGCTGAATGTCTGGCTCAGCAATTTTATTTAAAGGAGGAATTGAGAACTGATAAGGAATCTTTGTCTCCATCTAATTAACTTTTCCTCTCTGTATACGTTGCTACATGCATCAAGATTTCCTAATAAACACATGAGTTTATTAACTGTGACAGTCGCGTCTCATTCTCTTATAGAGGACAGAACTCAAGGAAACAGATGCACAATTGAGAGTTTTCCTTCAGTAAAAATGGATGGTGCTTTCTATTTTGAGTTTTAACTTTAATAATTAAAAGCATTATTATAAAATAATGCACGATCATTCTAGAAAGACTGACAACACAGAAGATAAATAGGAACTTATAAAGTCATCACCCAAAGATAATCACTGTTAGCACTGTGGTGCATTCATTCCAACCTTTTTTCTATGCCATTATGTGAATACATATTTATACTTGTGATAGTTAAGGTGATGAGTATAATCTGTGATTTTCGTTTCTCACTGTCCCTCTTTCTCCATTTCAGATGTCTCATAATAATAGCAAAAAGAGAAACACATATACAGTAGTTACTGTCTGCCAGGCACCATTCTAAGTGTTTTATACATACCAATTCATGCAATCCTCATGTGAACCCTTTGACGTAGAGTTTACAGGTGAGGCACAAAGCCAAAGTGATTTGCCCAAGGTCTCACCGCTATAGAGGATCAGAGCCAGGATTCAGACCCAGGCTGTGAGCATGTCCTCTTAGCCATCAGGGTCTGGTATCTCTCTGCCCCAAGGCCTGCCCCAAAGCCTGCCCTGAGGGCAGCCCTCGCCACCTGTTCCGTGGTAGTCGCCTTCAGTTCAACTTTGCTGGAACCCCATATACTGCATGGTATGGCACGTACTTTCCCCATGAACGAGTGAAAATCACCCTCCATCTCTGAAAAACCAGTGTCCCCTGCAGTCTTCCCCATGGGGTCTCTGCCTCAAGAGAAGGGAGCCAGAGATGCAGCCCTCAGGGAAGGAGCCCCGGAGTAGAGGCCAAAGACACTGGCCTCCAGCTCTGACTCTGCTTGCCTAGACAACTCATCCACCTGTTTGAGCCTCTTTTCTCATCTATGACATGACAGGATTGGCTGGCCATTCACTCATTCATTCATTCAATGCACAGGAGACAAAGATGAAGACTGTCCTTTTTTCTCTCCTCTGGGAATTCATCAGTCCCCATAGAAATAAATTGCCAGGCCACTGTACCTTGTTGTAGCAGAATCGCTGGGGACGATGGGAGCGTCCCAAGGCTGGGCTGGATGGAGGAGAGGGTACAGGACTCAGGGGCCTGGCAAGGCTTCCTGGAGGACAAGGAGGATCTGAAGGGGTGCTGAGGCCGTGTGACACGGGCCATGGGATCAGGGTCTCCAGGGCCCTCTCTGGTGCTCCGTCTGTGCCTCCGTTCCACACGGCTGTGTGCCAAGCTACCCCGTCTTCAGCAGGCTACAGCGGTGTCACACTTGTTGTTTCTTTTTTGGCTAAAAACTCTAGAAATGTCTTGCCTCACAGTTCTGGAAACTACAGGGTGTTGGCAGAGCTGGGTTCCTTCCTTCCCTCCCTCTTCCCACACGCTGAGGCCCACAGTCCTCGGCATTCCCTGGTGTGCAGCTGCAACACACCAGTCTCTGCCCTTATACTCACATGGCCTAATTCTGTGTGTCCTGTACGTCTATCTTTGCACGGCTGTCTCAGGAGGATGCCCATCATATCAGTAGGGTCGTCCCCTCCTTAGCTTAGGTCACTACATTTGCGACAACCCTGTTTCCAAATGGGGTTATGTTCAGAGGTGCCAGGGTGGGGACTTCAACATATGTGTTTGGGGGAGACACAATTGCACCCCTAATAATCACTATCACCACTGCCTAGTGTGGGCCATCATTGCCTGTCTACTGTTCTTGAATCTTCAATTCATTTCCATTCAGCTTCCAAATGACCTTCCTAAACTCCAGATCCTAGGCCCCGCAAGTAGGTAGGGCCTGGTTGGCTCTTACAGGTCCTGATGAAAAGAATCCGCCCAGGACTTCTTTCCATCTGGGCAGTAAGGTTGGAGCCAAGGGCGAAGATCAGAATACGGTGACTCCTGAAGAGACGTCAGTGAACTCTCGAGGGCAAGGGCAGTGTAGGCCTAGATGTTTCTAAGGCTCTCATGCTCATGCTAGTACCCCAGAGGCATGCCAGGGAAGCTGAGTGGGTGAATTTTTAATCCTCCTGTCTTGAAACTGGCCAGATGTCACTTTCTAAGGAGGCATTTGGGATTATTCAAAGCCTTTTCCAGACCTCTCTGCAGGCACTTGCACATACTTTGCTATCAGTAAACAGGTAGTGCATACTAAAGGAATGGTCAATATGCATATGAAATAAGTACAGCCTCTCTCCATCCCCCAAGGAGCTCAAACCTTCTAATGACGATTCTTCTTCCAGAAAGCTGTGGGAAACCTTCCAGTCTTGCTTCTGTCATTCAAATGATAATCCTCTCCCCAACTTGCCACACTCCTGTCTCCTCTGGAACTCTGCACAGAGAGACTCTCAACACTGCATACGTCCTGAGAGCCTGAGCACTTTCAAAGGTTCTGGGGCACTTAGCATCACTGTGGGAGGAAGATGACACAGAATATTCTCTCCTGCTCCCTGCATGTGTGTGGCTGTTTGGGGTAGCAGGGACATGGACAGAGGGTTAAGGACTGAGTGAGAAACTGGGTTTTATTAGATAAGCTTTCTTTTTCTGGGCAGAAACACAGGGAGACAAAGAACGTGAATTAACAGAAGACACGAGTGTGACTATCTCAGCGCCTGTATGACCCCGGCAGCTATGGTGTCTAGATGCCTGTATTTCAGTCATTTACATATGCATATTTCCTTTTGTTCTCATTCAGATCCTGGTAGCCCTTTCGTAGAGATGTACAGTGAAATCCCAGAGATCATCTACATGACTGAAGGAAGGGAGCTGGTCATTCCCTGCCGGGTTACATCGCCTAACCTCACTGTCACTTTAAAAAAGGTAAAACTGAGCATTGCTCCTCCCAGAATATTTTGACTGCAAATAATCACGATGAAGTTTTTTACTCCTTTGCTCTCTCTGGAATAATTTCCACACAGACATTTGGGTTTCTCGGTGGACTTTCTGTAACGTCCTTTTACAAGGTATGAGTTCTAGAACAAATATCCATGCATGGATTTACAGAGAATAAGATGGGGATGTCTCAAGCATAAATGTATGTGAATAATGACAGAACTGAAATCGTGACAATTTTTAGGTATTGCCATGACTCCAGTTGTGCAAATGTGAGGAAAGTCAATGATCACGATGAAGTTTTTTACTCCTTTGCTCTCTCTGGAATAATTTCCACACAGACATTTGGGTTTCTTGGTGGACTTTCTGTACGTCCTTTTACAAAGTATGAGTTCTAGAAGTTATACACATACATGGATTTACAGAGAATAAGATGGGAACATCTCAAGCATAAATGGATGTGAATAATGACAGAACTGAAATCGTGACAATTTTTAGGTATTGCCATGAATCCAGTCGTGCAAATGTGAGGAAAGCCACTCCTAACACTTCTGCATGTTAATAACTTGGCAGGGATAGGGGTGGGAAGAGTGTCACGCAGCTGACTGCCGAGGACAGAAATGCCGCAGGGTGCCTGATTCTCCAGGCGTTGAGAACTTCCTACATAAGGAGCCACCACCTTTGGTTTGAATTGGCAAGTTCCTGGTGACAAAAAGTTTATCTCCTGCTGGACACCCAAACTTAACCTCTTAGGGAAGAACAAAAACAGAAACAAACACAAAGCAACAACAACAACAACAGAAAAAAAAAACCAAGAAAGTCATAAGTATTTGTTGTAAAATTGTACTTGTGGAAAAGGAAAAATATTTAGGATAGAATCTAATAAAGACAAAAACTAAAATGTGACATGCTGGCTAATTCATTGGCAATAAGAGTTGGCAGATACTAAGATTAAGAAAAGAAGTCCTGACCGAGCTCAGTGGCTTAGCCTGTTATCCCAGCACTTCGGGAGGCCGAGGCGAGTGGATTGCCTGAGCCCGCGGGTTCGAGACCAGCCTGGGAAACTTGGCAAGACCTCGTCTCTACAATAAATCAAAAATTAGCTGAGCATGGTAGTGCGCACCTGTAGCTCCAGCTACTTGGAAGACTGGGGCAGAAGGATCGCCGGAGTCCAGCAGGTCGAGGATGCGGTGGCCGGGAATGTGCCGCTGCACTCCAGTCTGGGTGACAAAGTTAGACTCCAACTCAAAAAAAAAATGAAAAGAGGTCTTGAATTCTGAGAGCCCAGACCTTGAAGACAGAGAGAAGGCTGCCCGAGGCCCCAATCAGCCCTTCCTGTCACACAGTGGGTACCTGGGACTTGCTGGTGCTGGTGCTGCTGGTGGTGCGGGAGGCACAGGTGGCAGTCAAGCTGGGAGAGTTGAAAGAGCCGTCTGCAACATCCCCTGCCATCCCGGAGTCCTGAAATGTGGCAGAGGCATCTCCCTGTCTTCTTCTCTCTCCAATGTTGTAGTTACTCTCCTAGATTATAAATGTAAGCCCCCAACATAGTCCAGCAGAGACAGGCTCTGGCCTCTGTTATATGTGCCTCAATGCCAGGAAATAGAAAACTGTTGTATGTCAGAGCTGCACACACCAGCGACATCGAACCCCTCAATCGGTCAAGAAAAAAACGAGGTTCCCAGGGTGTTAGGGATTTCCCAGGCCACACTGGACACCAGCCAGTGTCCTAATGCCTCACTCAGGCTCCTGCCACCCTTCTCAAATCATCCAGTTTGTGTAGGAGGAACACAAGTGAGTGTAAGGACTGAAGTTGGTGCCACACTGCCACTTACTTGCTGGTCAGACCACAAATTATCAACCTTTTCTCTACCTCAGTTTCCCCAGTTGAGGAATGACCATCTCACATGAAAGCTAAATGAGGCGATGTGGAATGCACTGGGAACAGCGTTCTAAGTACAAGATAAGCCCTATTTGAAGGCTGGCTATGAGTATTACTTATTTAACAGTTTAATACCCAATACAGCACTTGATTTAGTATTAAGGCATGTCAGTTGCATGATATTACTCCTCTTAGTCTGAGATAAGAATTGCTATATGAATAATACAGAAAACACCATGGGGTGAGGAAACCTCTCTCTCCTTCACTCAAGCCCTAATGTAGGTCGGTTTTTGGTCATAAGGAACATTCAGAAATTTCCATGTGTAAAAATCTGGGGCAGGGAGGAGTTTATTTACTCTATTTTTCTTTTCTTTTTTTTTTTTTTTTTTTTGAGTTGGAGTCTCACTCTGTGACCCAGACTGGAGTGCAGTAGCTGCTCCCAGCCACTGCAGCCTCGACCTGCTGGGCTCCGGCGATCCTTCCGCCTCAGCCTTTCAAGTAGCTGGAACTACAGGCGCGTGCTAGCACACTCTGCTAATTTTTGATGTATTGTAGAGATGAGGTCTCGCCAAGTTGCCCAGGCTGGTCTCGAACCCGCGGGCTCAGGCAATCTACTCGCCTTGGCCTCCCAAGGTGCGGGATTACAGGCTGAGCCACCGAACCAGACCTACTCTGTTTTTCTAATTAAGATCTGCAATGCACAGTTTTCTTTTGTTTTTGTTATTTTGAGTCAGTCTCATGTGTCGCCCAGGCTGAAGTACAGTGGTATGATTATGGTTACCACAGCCTCGACCTGCTGGGCTCAGACAATCCTTCTGCTTCAGCCTTCCAAGCAGCTGGAACTACATGCCTGGCTACTTTTTTTTTTTTGAATTGGCGTGTGACTCTGTCGCCCAGACTGGAGTGCAGTGGCCGCTCCCCGCCACTGCAGCCTCGACCCGCTGGGCTCCAGTGATCCTTCCGCCTCAGCCTTCCGAGTAGCTGGAATTACAGCCATGCGCTACCACGCCCAGCTGATTTTTTTATTTATTGTAGAGATGAGGTCTCGCCAAGTTGCCCAGGTGGGTCTCAAACCCGCGGGCTCAGGCAATCCACTCACCTCAGCCTCCCAAAGGCGCGGGATTACAGGCTGAGCCACCGAACCCGGTTTTTTTTTTTTTAATTGTAGAGACAAGATCTTGCCATGTAGACCAGACTAGTCTCAAACTCCGGGGCTCAGGCAATCTTCTCGTCTCCACCTCCCAAAGTGCTGGGATTACAGGTGTGAGCCACAGTTTAAAAAAGAGAGAAGTGTAAAATTTTAACAGGGATGCTGATTTGGCACATATACACTGAAAATATTCTAGTCTGTTACTTTTTTTTTTTTTTGGAGTTGGAGTTGGAGTCTCACTCTGTCGGCCAGGCTGGAGTGCAGTGGCTGCTCCCGGCCACCGCAGCCTCGACCTGCTGGGGTCCGGCGATCCTTCTGCCTCAGTCTTCCAAGTAGCTGGAACTACAGGCAGACACTACCACACCCGGCTAATTTTTTGATTTATTGTAGAGATGATGTCTCGCCAAGTTGCCCAGGCGGGTCTCGAACCCGCGGGCTCAGGCAATCCACTCACCTCGGCCTCCCAAAGCGCGGCTGCCTGTTACATATTGATACTGACCTGAAGTTAATATCTTCCTTTTCCCTTTCTCTTACTGGTCCTTTTCTTGGAATGTGCTGGCCTCTTCCTCTCCTTCTGATCTGTCTGCTTCGGGGAGCCATGGGCACTTTGAGACAGGGATCCCTGCCCAGTGCTGTCTTTTGTGGCTGAGAGTCGCCTGCCTGTCTGTCTGCATTCTTATGACACGTGCAGTGACCCACAGCTGATGAGCTACATGGTCTCTTACTGTTTCAGGTCTTGTCAGCTAAACATAAAATTACTTTGTCAATGTGCTGAGGAAGTCTGTCAGCAAACCTTTCTTTGGACTCAGCAAATACTTGTTTTCACTTTTTTTTTTTTTGAGTTGGAGTTTCACTTTGTTGCCTAGACTGGAGTGCAGTGGCACCCCAGCGTCGACCTGCTGGGCTCTGGCGAGCCTTCCGCCTGAGCCTTCCAAGTAGCTGGAACTACAGGCGCGTGCTAGCACACCCTGCTAATTTTTGGTTTATTGTAGAGATGAGGGCTCGCCAAGTTGCCCAGGCTGGTCTCGAACCCGCGGGCTCAGGCAATCTACTCGCCTTGGCCTCCCAAAGTGCTGGGATTATAGGCTGAGCCACCGAGCCCAGCTGTTTTCACTTATTTTTAAAGGACCATAGATTTCAGTCCCTGACTTAAATTTTTTGGGTTTTTTTTTCCTTCTTTGCGCTAAACAAGAGGTTTTTTTCCTCCCCTCACTGAATGCATTCCCAAGTTTACTGATCGAATTTTGATTTACCAAAACACGAAATGAATCCTTTCATTGCTTTCAGTTATTCATAAAAATGGGATGCAATTAATTTCAAACACAAGTAACACTGGACTTGAAACATAGACATATTCACTGGGAGAGAGGCACCAGGGACTTTTCTACTAGAAATTTCCACCATAGGCTCACAAATCCCGATTAACTTCTTCCACAAGCAACGCCAATAAATGAGAACTGGCTAGAGAGAGGGATGTCAGGCGTATTTTTTAAAAGGAGACAGCCGGGCTCAGTGGCTCAGCCTGTAATCCCGCGCCTTTGGGAGGCTGAGGTGAGTGAATTGCCTGAGCCTGAGGGTTCGAGACCCTCCTGGGCAACTTGGCGAGATCTCATCTCTACAATAAATCAAAAAACTAGCTGGGCATGGTAGCGCGCGCCTGTAGTTCCAGCTACTCGGAAGGCTGAGGCAGAAGGATCGCCGGAGCCCAGCAGGTCGAGGCTGCGGTGGTCAAGAGCAGCCACTGCACTCTAGTCTGGGCAACAGAGTGAGACTCAAAAAAAAACTCAAAAAAAAAAAAGGAGACAGAAAAGTATCTGGTTCTTTATGACTGTTTGGTATTTCCTTTATAGTCTATTGGGGAAAGAGAATTTGATTTATTTTTCTCCTTTTCCAACTGGGAATAAATAATAGTGGTGGTCAGAGTCTACCACCTCTGAAATTGGGCCGGCAACCTGGCATCAGGGGAATTTGGCTGGGCTACCCTATGAAGCAATGACCTTGTATAAAGTTGAATCCCAAAGTAGTGTGTTTCTTTTGTGATCTTTAAAAGTAAGTCCTTGATGTCAGAAGGAGGCATAAAGAGAAAGCCAAGCCGCTTCTGGGGGTTCCCTCCCAGAGGCAGAGCTGATGACTCTTTGGGATGCAGAGTGACAACTCTGGGAGGGCCACGTTACATCAGGAATCTTGGAGGACCTGGAATTACTTATAGTCCTTTGACGATGACCACCTCTTGAGCAAACCCTGCAGAATAGAGGACAAGTTGTGGCTTGTTAAAAGCTCCAGATGAGAAAATTCTTGAGAATAATCTGGCAGCCTCAGGGGGAAAATGCTGATTGGTTTCTCTATTGAGCATCAGACCAGTTTATTATGAAAATTCCCAGAAGCCAAAGAGTTATGGGCTCCCACTAGAAGTCTGACATGACGACTAGTTTTATCCTGACTAGTTTTAACCTGAGTAGGTGCCGCTTGTTGCCAAGGCTGGTAACAAATTATCATAATTACTATAATTTGTCATAATGCAAATACATGTTGCTATATGCAAAGAAAACTAAAGAACCAATTATAACCAACAAGAATCTCTACCTCGTTTGTTACAAACTGTAGAGTTTTTACTATTTTCATTTTAGATGAAAATTGTGGGGTTTTTTTGTTTTGTTTTGTTTTTTGGAGTCTGGGGCTCACTCTGTCTCCTAGGCTGTAGTGCAGTGGCACAATCACAGCTCACTGCAGCCTCCATTTCCTGGGCTCAGGCAGTCCTCCCACCTCAGCCTCTAAAGTGGACAGGACTATAGGTGGGCAGCATCACCACACCCAGCTATTTTTTTTTTCTTATTTTGTGTAGAAATGAGGTCTTACCACATTGCCCAGTTGGTCTTGAACTCCTGGGCTCAAGCAGTCCTCCCGCCTCAGCCTCCCAAAGTGCTAGGATTATAGGCGTGAGCCACCATACCCTGCCAAAAATGATGTTTTCACAAACTACTAGTGAAACATTATTGCCGTGGTATTAACAGAATTTTACTAACTTGTGTTTTTTCCTTTTCAGTTTCCATTTGACACTCTGACCCCCGATGGGAAACGAATAACCTGGGACAATAGGAAAGGCTTTATAATATCAGAGGCAACATACAGAGAAATTGGGCTTCTGACTTGTGAAACAACAGTCCATGGACATCTGTATAAGACAAACTATCTCACGCATCGACAAAGTAAGTGATGGTCCAGAGGCGTGAGTGTAAGCCGAAGTGCTCTGTGGTTTATCTGCTTAAAGAAATCTTAATTTTAAAAAAAAATGTTCTCTCTTATGCTTGCAGCCAATACAATCAGAGATGTCCATATAGGCACACCGAGCCCAGTCAAATTACTCAGAGGCCACACTCTTACCCTCAACTGTACTGCCACCACCCCCTTGAACACGAGAGTTCAGATGTCCTGGAGTTACCCTGGTGAAGTGAGTGACCCATTTTTCTGTTTCTTCTGCAGGACAGTAGTTAATTTTAGCAAGTGAAATCCCACTGGGTTTTTGAGACGGGAAAAATCAGAAATTCTGACGGCTGTGGCAGTGTTAGTCAATACAGACGCTCTGGGTTTGGTTTTGGGTTATCGCCTTGCCTGGCATTTCATGAGTGTGATATGCATAGATACCTTCTTTTGATGTCTGGAGCTTTGTTTTGAAGAGTGTAGGCTGGTATTTCTATTGCATGATTCTGGGTGGAAAAAAGGATTGTTCCATTCTTGGAAACCATTCTCTAGGATTAAGAGATGAGAGAGAAATTTATCACTAAATGCCAGGCAGGGACTGTCTTTTGTAACAACAACTACAACAACTTTCCAGGAGGCTGTCTTTGTCAGCGCATTCGTTTAAGATCCTGGCAGACAGGCAGGCACCTGATTGGAGCATGTTTGGAGAAGATTCTATAAGCCAACCAGCCAGGATTTCATTTGCTAAGTGTAAAAGGAGCAATTCAGCCGGGCTCGGTGGCTCAGCTTGTAATCCCAGCACTTTGGGAGGCTGAAGTGAGTGAATTGCCTGAGCCCGCGGGTTCGAGACCCGCCTGGGCAACTTGGCGAGACCTCATCTCTACAATAAATCAAAAAATTAGCCGGGCGTGGTAGCGCGTGCCTGTAGTTCCAGCTACTTGGAAGGCTGAGGCGGAAGGATCGCCAGAGCCCAGCAGGTCGAGGCTGCGGTGGCCGGGAGCGGCCACTGCACTCCAGTCTGGGCGACAGAGTGAGCTCCAACTCAAAAAAAAAAAAAAAGAGGAGCAATTCTGTCCTTCAGAAAAATGAGAAGAATAAAGACTGAGTTAGGTTCTCTTATTCAGTGTGAACATCCTTGCAAACAATAACTATTTTTACAACGTATAGTTGAGCAGATGATAAATTGTTTAGGAAATTTTGACAGTCGTTCCAACCTCCATTTCTTGTGTCAGTATGATCGCAATCCTTTGTTACATCACTCAGATTGCCCAATTACAAGCCAAGTTATGATTAAATTACATATGAAAGATGAATGCGTCAGTCCCAAACTACTGCTGCCTTTCATCACCATTTCTTGCCACGGAACTTGAATAACTTAGCAACAGACAGGTGTAACAAGTGCCCTGTAGGGACACATTAAGGACTTATCAGTCATAAACTATTTTCTAGAAAGTGGAATGGTTTCATTTAAATAAAAATGCTGCCAGACTCGGTAGCTCAGCCTGTAATCCCAGCACTTTGGGATGCCAAGGCATGTGGATTGCCTGAGCTCGCGGGTTTGAGACCAACCCAGGCAACTTGGCGAGACCTTGTCTCTACAGTAAATAAAAAATTAGCCAGGTGTGGTAGCGCACGCCTGTAGTTCCGACTACCTGGAAGGCTGAGGCAGAAGGATGGCTGGAGCCCAGCAGGTCGAGTCTGTGGTGGCGAGGATCTTGCCACTGCACTCTAGTCTGGGTGACAGATTGGGACTCCAACTCAAAAAAAAAATGCTATGACGTATAGCATTATTCTCTGGGTAGAAATTGAATAGAAATTGAATGTTCTCAATAAATGCTGAGAGAGAAGAAACTTTTATCCTGTTAGTGTTGCCACTGTAAGAGTATTGATACCACATCTATGGAATGCCACTACACTTCTAAGTGCACTGTCCAATTCAGAACTGTGATGGAATAGTCTATCTCTGTGCTGTCCAGTACTGTAAACACTAGCCATATACAGCTGTTGAGCACTTAAAATGTGGACGGTGTGACCGAGAAATTGAATTGTTAATTTTGTTTAATTTTAACAGCTACATGTGGCTGTTGGCTGCAGAACTGATCAAAGCAATTATAAAACACAGAATGAGTTGTTTTCCAAGTCAGATACGATACCACTGTTACTCAAACTTGGCAAAGGGAGAAGTAATACCTATACAGAGTTGCAGAATTCTCCCTCAGTCTGTTATTTTAGGGAAATGATTCTCTGACTTGTGAAGGTGTTGGTTGACTTTTCTCTCTGGTTATTGCTGAGAATAAAGAAAGTGGCCATCCTGTCCAATAAGGAAGTAAAAGGACAGGTGGGCAGAAGCTATTAAAATAATGTGAAGAGGAGTGCTAAGTTCAAGACCCAAAGACCAGCTCTGGACAGCTTCCAAAGCCTTTTTTCTTCCCCTCTCACCATGGGAAAGAGTTGAGATGAGGAAACAACATATTATGAGTTATAAAATGCAATGCTGAGAGAGAGAGAGAGAATGAATTAAAGGAGAAAGCATTGTTACCTTGTCTTCTTAAAACAGTGAGCCATCGTGGCCAGTGCAGACTGCTCAGCCTGAGGCTGACAAGGACAACACCTTCCATGTATTGGCTAAACTTGCCAATGGGCTTGTATGTGCCCAGATCCATTTACTGTGATTTAGCAGATATTGGTAGGCATCACTCAACCAGTGAAATAATAAGACTAGAGGATTATCCACTTCTAGTAGGTATAGCCAAGACTCATTCTCTTTTCCTTTATTTCTAGTAGGGAAGCAAAAGGAAACTCACATGGTGATTTTTACAAGCAACACCATCACAGGGCCAGACATTAGAACTTGTCAGTGCCAGCACGTGTGTGTTAGCAAGGCTAGGGACAGGCTGCTGTCCAGAGATTTGCGCCCCAGGGGAAGGACTGTGTTTATACTCAAACAACCTGCATTCCTGACCTACTTCAGCCTGTGTCTGTGTGGCTTCAGTTTCTTGGTCAGTAAAAGGGTAACAAGCTTGCCAATCTCACTAGGTTGTCCTGAAAAACAAGTGAGATATATACAAGCTCGTCCATTTGAAGAAAATCAAGTGGTTATATTTGAAGCGCATCTAACAGACATGTAGTTTCCAGACATCTTGCTCTAGTTGGGTTTGATGTGCTCTTCGCATAAAAAAAAGAAGCTGTTGTCAAAATGATGATCTGAGAAACTTTAAAGTGCCATGTCGCTTTCAGCATGAACAATGACTCATACATTTGTTATGTACTTTCCTTCTAGGCAAATAGAGGTTCCATAAGGCAACGCATCGACCAAAGCCACTCCCACTCCAACATGTTCTACAGTTTTCTTACCATTGACAAAGTGCAGAACAAAGACAAAGGACTCTACACCTGCCACGTGCAGAGTGGACCAGTCTTCAAATCTGTCAACACCTCAGTGCATATATATGGTAAGTGAGACTTCAGGCTTGCCAGCTCATGCCATGCTTTGTAATCATGGTGGATGCCTGGCTTCTGTAAACAAGTACATTTTCTGTTGGCCAAGAGTTACATTACCACGCATGAAAACAACTTTGCCATGTCCCCTGCGCCCGCTGCCAAAAAGCAAATCACTTTAAGCACTCTTTCAATTTAATATTTTGAACTGGACAGTCTTTCCTTTACACGTTTGTTATGGCTGATTATTCAGTTAGATCCTAAGATTTTTATGAAATTTTTAATGTAGTGTTCCACATAAACAAAACAGAAAAAGATGATCAATTTTTCTTTTTTTTTTTTTTTTGAGTTGGAGTCTCACTCTGTCACCCAGACTGTACTCCTGGCCACTGCAGCCTCGACCTGCTGGGCACTGACGATCCTTCCACCTCAGCCTTCCAAGTAACTGGAACTACAGGCGCACGCTACCACGCCTGGCTAATTTTTTGATTTATTATAGAGATGAGGTCTCGCCAAGTTGCCCAAGTGGGTCTCGAACCAGCGGGCTCAGGCAATCCACTCACCTTGGCCTCCCAAAGCTCTGGGATTACAGGCTGATCCACCAAGCCCAGCGCAGTTTTACTTTTATTATCTGAGAAAATTTTCTTAGGCTCTTCCATGAATTAGAGAAATAAAAAGGTGGTATGCTAAATTATCTAGAATTCATGCTATTCTTTTTTTTTAATTTTTAATTTTAAATATGAGGGATAAATTCAGGGTTAGGTATACAAATGTTCATTATGCGGGTACCCTTGTTGATGAGGTATGCCCCTTCCCTCCCCTGGCAGTTTCCCACCACTGCCAATCACACACCCCCATCCCCAGAATTCATCACATCACCTCCCCCCTCCCCAGAATTCATGCCATTCTATCCCTGGTTTTACTATTATGGAATCCTAGTATTGTTGCTTTCCAATAAGAAAATTCTATAGAGAATGCTTAATGAACTCACCTCCATTGCTGAAAAGGAAATCAGTGTGAAAAGCAGAAATTTTGGAACAATGCAGTCAACAGCATTTTATTTCCTTTTGACTTTCTCCAGTTGATTTTGTGATGTCAATTGTTTTAGGGTGCCCAAAGCAGCTTTCTCCCACCTTACTCCTATTGGCCAAGGTAGATTTTTAGAAATATCTTCCCACTTTTTTATTATTGTGATACAGATATTGGAGGAGTCTCACTTTCACTTGCCCCTGCCACTGATTTATATCCCTGGGACTTGATAGTTTTTGATTTGACTGTATTTCACCAGCTAGCATGCTTTTCAAGTCTTCTACTGAACATTTGGGCTTATTGACAAGTTTGGTCATAATTCAGCTCTATTTATCCATTGATTCCATCCTTCCTTAATGAGGCCCTAGGGTTGTATTTATAGAGATAGACTCTTTCCTAATGCATTTATCACTTCTCTTTTCAAAGAAAAAGCGTTCATCACTGTGAAACATCGAAAACAGCAGGTGCTTGAAACCATAGCTGGCAAGCGGTCTTACCGGCTCTCCATGAAAGTGAAGGCTTTCCCCTCTCCGGAAGTCGTATGGTAGGACCGTGATTAATTCCATGTCATTTGCAGAGTTCCCTGTATGTAGGGAGATGCAAGAGCCCGATCTTTGAATTCTGACAAGATATCAAGAGAAGTTCGTTGGACAGAACTAGAGTTAAGAGCTGCATAGACTCGGGGGGCGGGGTGGGGAGAGAACAGGGGTAGGGATGGCAGGATGAAGGGAGAGGCAAGGCTGTCTCGAGGGCTCATTTCAGTCTAGTCAGTCTGTCACTGTGACTAAGTTTATGCATCTCTAAACCTTCCTATGATGTCAACGTTCTTTGAATGGGAATGTGTTGGAAATGACTAGGAAGCATTTTGAATATGTAACATGCTCTATTAAGCCTGAAGAAGTGGGCTCTTGTCATGAGAATGCTGAAAATAATTCTTTTATATACAGCTGGGTTGAAAGTTCCAGTCTTGTTTTAAAATTAAACAAACATTAATAGAGACAAGACTTACTCATTTGAAGAGGGAGACAAATGGACCTACTTGAACTAATTAAGTTTTTTTCGGTTCGAAGCTTGCATATTCAGAAACCTCTTTAAAAAGTTGGGTTTTTTTATACTAGTACAACACCTGATAAAAAAAACAATGTAATCTGTATATAATCTCCAGTCATTTTGTTAAATGACTTTTAATGCCAATATCTTTGGCTCAAGTCATTACATTTTTAGACAAAGGGTTTAGTACAAAACTGATTAGGAAAACAATCCATACAATTTGGAAGTAGTGCATTTGAGAGTTTCCTGGCCAGAGCTTTTAATACCATATGAGAGTAGTGTTTGTTTACAATTTTCTCAAATACTTAATAGGGAATTAAAGAGAAAAATTAAGCCTTGTGCTACTCCTGCATGCCGTTAAGGAGAAAAGGGATTCTTTTTGTTCCATAACAACCAGAAAGTCTAATAATAATTTTTTTTTTTTAGTCGAAGTCTCACTCTTTCACCCAGGCTGGAGTGCAGTGGCATGCTCATGGCCACCGCAGCCTCCACCTGCTGGGCTCAGGCAATCCTTCCGCCTCAGCCTTCCAAGTAGCTGGAACTACAGGTGTGCACTACCATGTTCAGCTAATTTTTTGATTTATTGTAGAGCCGAGGTCTCGCTAAGTTGTTTAGGCCAGTCTCAAACCCCTGGGCTCAGGTAATCCTCTCGCCTTTGCCTCCCAAAGTGCTGAGATTACAGTTGTGAGCCATCACGCCTGGCACATTTTTAAGTTTAATAGAAAATTTAACAGGAATTGAATGACTCTAGGAAGTACATTCACTCTTCCAGTGTTTGAGAGTACCCTTGTTTGTTAGTGTGAGTTTCTCTAGTAACTAAGTAGCAAAGGCATAAAAAACAGTCAACCCACCTTCAAAAATTTTGACTTGTTAACAGGAAATAATTTAAAGTACTACTAAAATGATATCCGTCATCCCGAAATATAGCAGAGTTATTTTAACTGCCTTGGGTCTGAGACTTACTAGTAATGGGAATTTGTTTGCAGGACTATGAACTCTGTGTGATTATGAACTGTATTTCCAATATTATACCTTTATACAAAACACAATAGACTCCTAAAAGATTAAAACTGCCCATGGAAAGAACGGCACATCTTAATGGAATCCTAGCATTTTCGACTTGTAAGGGGTCTTTAGGAATCTCTAGACCCCCTGAGAGAGCGAAGGCTCCTACTGGTCAGTCCCACATGTGGGGCCAGGCCTTGACTCTCAGGTCTGTATGCAGCTGAGTGGTACCAAGGCATTGATTCTATATTTAAGATGCTTTGTAAATTTCTTTAAGCTTATGCCTTCTGTTTGTTTGGTGCCTTAATGGTTCTCCTCGGGGGAAAAGTCTTGATCATCTTGATTTCACTATAGTTTATGACAGGGTCAACTGGTGTGATCATTTATGCAATTAATAAGAACTCCACATGAGACCACAATAGAAAAGTCTATTTTTATGTTTATCTGGAGAAATGATCTAGTCAATCTGACTTACAATGGCCCTTGGACTGCTGATGGAGCCTCATGGAAAACTCTGGAAAACATCTCAGATGGAATCAGAGCCAGTGCCCATGGGTTAACACTTAAGTCACAAGATCAACAGCATGCCTGTGGGTACTTTAAACCATCACTCTTTTTTCCTTCCATCACTTCACTTTTTTTTTTTGAGTTGGAGTCTCACTCTATCGCCCAGGTTGGAGTGCAGTGGCACGCTCATGGCCACCACAGCCTCGACCTGCTGGGTTCAGACGATCCTTCTGCCTCAGCCTTCCAAGTAGCTGGAACTACAGGTGTGCCCCACGCCTGGCTCATTTTTTGGTTTATTGTAGAGAGGATGTCTCTCCATGTTGCCTAGTCTGGTCTTGAACCCCTGGACTCAGGCAATCCTTTCAGCTCAGCCTTCCAAAGTGCTGGGATTACAGGTGTGAGCCACCATACCCGACACTTCTTCTTTGCCAGTAAACATGAAATGTTACGCAGTCTAAAAATCATGCCTGCCTTTACTGAAAAGTTAGCGCCTACATTGGAAAAAATCAATGTTGATGATGAAAGGTTCAAATCTCGAGCTCACGAATTTAAATGCTAGTGTTACGGTGACAGCCAAGAGACCATGTGAAATGACTTACTGATCGTGCTTTTATCCATAGGTTGAAAGACGGGTTACCTACAACTGAGAAATCTCCTCGCTACTTGGTTCATGGCTATTCATTAATTATCAAGGATGTAACTATGGAGGATGCAGGAGATTATACAATCTTGCTGAGCATAAAACAGTGGAAAGTGTTTAAAAATCTCACTACCACTCTGATTGTGAATGGTAAGTCTAGTGCTCATACCTTCTTCCAGTTCTGGTAGGGGACAAATTAATGCAAATTTGTATATTCAAAAGACAGTATAACAACATCAAAGGGCCGGACTCGGTGGCTCAGCCTATAATCTCAGCACTTTGGGAGGCTGAGGCAAGTGCATTGCCTGAGCCCGTGGGTTCGAGACCCACCCGGGCAACTTAGGGAGACCTCATCTCTGCAATAAATCAAAAAATTAGCTGGGTGTGGTAGCGGGCGCCTGTAGCTCTAGCTACTTGGAAGGCTGAGGCTGAAGGATCCCTGGAGCCCAGCAGGTCGAGGCTGCGGTGGTCAGGAACGTGCCACTGCATTCCAGTCTGGGCGACAGAGTGAGACTCCAACTCAAAAAAAAAAGCAAAGAAAAGAAAATGTTAAATCGCTATTTTAAAACCATGTCTGCTCCCATCACCACAGTCTCATGTTTGTTTACCTTCCATAGTCGACAAGATTTTCGATCATTGTAATCATTATGTACATACCATGAAATCAAATGATTAGCATTCTCAAAATACTTCAATTTTTTAAAATTGGCATTTTCTTGATGAATGGGAGGGTTTGTTTGGTTTTGGTTTTCGTGTTTGCTTCCTTTACATCAAAACCAGTGAGAATGTGGTCCCTGGTGTGTGGCGCAGGGAAGTCACCAGAGCGTCTCCTGACTTCTGTCCCGTTCTTCTTTCCTTTCCAGTGAAACCCCAGATTTACGAAAAGGCCGTGTCATCATTTCCGCACCCAGCCCTCTACGCACTGGGCAGCAGACAGACCCTGACCTGCACCGTTGATGGCATCCCTCAACCCACAATCAAGTGGTTCTGGCACCCCTGCAGCCGTAACCATTCCAGAACAAGGTAGGGACAGTTCGTTTCTTGATGAACTTTCAAATCTGTCTTGACACCTGGAATCGACAGTCTTGATGGACACAGATGGGAATTTGCAGGTGGAATGAGTGACATATTTGGGGCAAAGGGGCTCTCTGCTTCGGTAAAAGGTGGGAATAGCTACTTCTCTTCCTTACTGAAAATACTCTCCCACTTGCTAATAATTTCATAATTTTTCTCTCTAGTGTACAATTTTAGGAGCACAGGAACGAAACTAAGGTTCCCCTGTGAGCCATTATTTAGCTCGGGTTCGAACGCCAGTCTCTGGTTTCCCAGTTTGAGACTCCCAGACTTTGGCCATGCCACTGTGTCGGTGACACTGGTCTTCCCATTTTTCATATTCCTTGGCTGTGGTCCAAGATCTTCCAGCACTGATGATCACTCTGCCCTTCCATCTGTCTGCAATGCACTTCCACCCAGAATAGAAGGCCTTTGTTATCAGACTTCACACTTAGCTCTTAAGTGACCTTCTCTGAGAACCCTCCTGCGTGCCTCATTCAGACTCTTTCTTCCCCCTCAGTGTGAACAGCACTTTGTTCACAACCCTGCATGTCACTCAGCGTGCACACGTTTGCCTCTCTCTAAGCTCGGAGCTAACTGAGACCACCCGTATCTTCAGGGCCGGGCCCATAACTGGCATGCGGCAGATGCCCTGTGTGTGTCTGTTGAGTGACTACGCCCTGCCCTCTGCTAACTGTGCAGCGTTTCCTTGCATCCTGTTGACGACCAAGCCCTGTTTGCTTTTTCCCCTTTGTGTTTAGTCTAGAGGGATGATACTAATGATAGTTCATGGGAGCTAATTGGAAGAACAGGAATAGAATTGATAGGTACAACAATAAAAGAGTATTGAAACTGCCCCCAAATTATCCTGATTTCAAAATGTTTTCTTGATCACTTTACTTACAGAGTGTTTGGGAGGATTGCTATTTAAAATAAAAAATAAAAACAAAACCAAGTTGATAAAGTGAATAAGGCATAATTCTAGCATAAACAGATAGAAGTGGCTATTTGGCTTTCTAGATTCTTCCCACAATTCTAACTCTTCATCTCATGTTTTAATCTTGGTTTAGGGCGTATTACTCTGATAGTGGAAAGTTACTGGTGAGCTATGAATTCCTGAGAAGTAGCTATTTCCCCACGTCTGATTTCTCACTTGAGTGTCATTTTCCAAGAATAGAAATATAGAGAACTTGCAAGTCTTGAATACCTTCTTTACCAGTGTGGATATTTAACCCAGAAAATGGTGAGATCTACTGAGATTTTGTATTATTTTGCCAATCTGGGGTAGACATCAATATTCATATTTATGGACCCACCCCTTTAGATCTTGATATGTGTGCCAACTTAACATACAGATAAATTAAAAATAACTAAATAATTGAAACTATTAGATTTGGATAAACATGTTGAGTTGAATTTTTGTGGAATAAGTCTTTTTGTAAATATTTTTCAAGTTTTGTTTTGACACTATCACATCTAAAATTTCTAATCTATTTAGGAGTACAGCTAGTAACTATGTTAGAACAATTATGAATGACAGAACATAATTTGGGGTTAAATGATGCTAATAAAATGTAGTTTGGGGAATGAGGCCAGCTGACGTGAGACTCTAAACATTAGCTCTCTTTCCAATCCTTTGGGGTGCTGGGATCTTTCTCCTGTGTTATGGACTAAGCTCACCAAGGCCTAGAAAGATGTCTTCTTCCTTTTGGAATTTTCTCAAGACTCGGGGCACTGCCTTACATGTTTATTGACCATCTGAACTATTCTCTGTTAAAGACGTTTGTATTTTTACTACTCACAAGGCAGTTCAGAAATGAAAGCTTTAAGTTTTCATGCTGTTTCATTTCTTTAATACGTTGTTGGTTGAAATTACCTGCCAAAAATGTGCACAGTCCTAAAAGGTTGTGTTCTTGTAGTCAGCAGTACTGACTGAGTAGCCCGCCTATGCCAGGCCCAGATTTGGTGCTTGATGGTTAGGTCAGTACACATAATTTAGGAACATTTCAGAAATATATGCAGCACCTGTGTACACTAGGAAATAAACAGAACTCTCTATTTCACCCTGTCAGAGAGCTAAAGTGAAAATAGGCAAATAAGCGAAGCCCTCTTTAATTACCAAAATGTTTCAAATGTGTCCTTATATGAATATATTTTTATATACTTACAATAACTTAGATTCAATTATAGATAGGAATTTTAGTGACTTGTTATAAGGAATGTTCTGTTGTACTTAACTGATTTTCAGTAACATATTTGCATAGTGCTATCTATACATGATCAACAAAAGAGAATGGGTGACTGATATATACACATTACTCTTTTTTTTTTGAGTTGGAGTCTCACTCTGTCACCCAGACTGGAGTGCAGTGGCCGCTCCTGGCCACCGCAGCCTCGACCTCCTGGGCTTCGGCGATCCTTCTGCCTCAGCCTTCCAAGTAGCTGGAACCACAGGCGCACGCTACCACGCCTGGCTAATTTTTTTTTGTTTTTTTTTTTTTGAGTTGGAGTCTCACTCTGTCGCCCAGACTGGAGTGCAGTGGCATGCTCCCGGCCACCGCAGCCTCGACCTGCTGGGCTCCGGCGATCCTTCCACCTCAGCCTTCCGAGTAGCCGGAACTACAGGCGCGTGCTACCACGCCCAGCTAATATTTTATTTATTGTAGAGATGAGGTCTCGCCAAGTTGCCCAGGTGGGTCTCGAACCCGCGGGCTTAGGTAATTTTTGATTTATTACAGAGATGCGGTCTCGCCCAGTTGCCCAGGCAGGTCTCGAACACACGGGCTCAGGCAATCCACTCACCTGGGCCTCCCAAAGCGCTGGGATTACAGGCTGAGCCACTGAGCCCGGCCCACATTACTCTTAAATATGTAGAATAATTCCTGGTATTTAAATTTTAGATTCTAGCTAAAAGATATACCCAGATATGCTCATAGACAAACCATTAGCATAGCTTTGAGAACAGAATGTATTTGTTTATTATAAGTAGTTCAAAATTATTAATTGGCTTAATATGGCCTGCCAGTTAATGTACCTAAGTTAATACAGAAAGAGGTTCAGTTGGGCGTGATGTCTTACACCAATAATTCCATCACTTTGGCAGGCCAAGGTAAGAGGATTGCCTGAGCCCATGGGTTCAAGACCAGACTGGACAACTTGTCTCTACAATAAATCAAAATCAAAAAATTAGCCAGGCATGGTGGCATGTGCCTGTAGTTCCAGCTCCTTGGAAGTCTGAGGCAGAAGGATCGCCGGAGCCCAGGAGGGCAAAGCTGCGGTGGCCATGAGCATGCCACGGCACTCCAGCCTGGGCGACGGAGTGAGACATCAATTCACAAAATAAAAAAGAGGTTCAGATTTCAATCAAATTGTATAGTTTTCTGGAGTCTAGCAGATATATGTAAATATATTTAGAAATGATCAGAGCTACTGACAGTTCAACTAGAAATTTCCCTCATTTAAAAAATATGGTAAAATGTTTTATAGAGCCGAGCTCAGTGGCTCAGCCTATAATCCCGCACCTTGGGAGGCTGAGGTGAGTGGATTGCCTGAGCCCGTGAGTTCGAAACCTGCCTGGGCAACTTGGTGAGACCTCATCTCTACAATAAATCAAAAATTAGCTGGGTGTGGTAGCACGCACCTGTAGTTCCAGCTACTTGGAAGGCTGAGGAGGAAGGCTCACCAGAGCCCAGCAGGTCGAGGCTGCGGTGGCCGGGAGCAACTACTGCACTCCAGTCTGGGCGAGGCGACAGAGTGAGACTCCGACTCAAAAAAAAATGTTTTATAGAAGTGAGCTATTTGGGGTTTTGTATGTTTGGTTGAGGTGGAACCCTACTCTGTTGCCAGACACAATCACGGCTCATCACAGCCTCCACCTCCTGGACTCAGGCAATGCTTCCATCTCAGCCTCCTGAGTAGCTGGGACTACGGGTGTGCACCACTGTGCCCAGCTAATTTATTATTATTATCATTATCATTATTATTATTATTGTAGAGATGAGATCTTGCTGTGCTGCCCAGGCTGGTCTCGAACTCTCGGGCTCAAGTAATCCTCTTGCCTTGGCCTCCCAAAGTGCTGGGATTACAGACGTGAGCCACTGCACTCATAGACATGAGCTGTGTTGTAACTGAGTAATAGTGTGGTTTTTGTTGTGCCTAGAATTTGTTTTTATAAAACATTAGGAATAAAAGAGAAGGGGAAAAGGAAGGTCACTTTTAAACTCAGATAGCTGGTGAACTGAGAAGAAATAACACAGATTTGATTTTCTGCACACAAAAAAAAGAAATCAAGTAGAAAGAGAGCTATAATATTTCTTTTGAATAATAATAACATTGAAATATATTATCAATGCTGATGAGGTGGAATTTTGGATTCTTCTCATCCTTAACAACAGGTATAGAGACTTTTTTTTTTTTTTTTTGACTTGGAATCTCACTCTGTCACCCAGGCTGGAGTGCAGTGTCACGCTCACAACCACCGCAGCCTCCACCTACTGGGCTCCGGCCATCCTTCCACCTTAGCCTTCCAAGTAGCTGGAACTACAGGCATGCGCTACCATGCCCGGCTTATTTTTTGACTTATTGTAAAGACAAAGTCTCACCAAGTTGCCCAGGCTGGTTTCGAACTCCTGAGCTCAGGCAATCCTCTAGCCTTAGCCTCCCAAAGTACTGGGATTACAGGCCTGAGCCACTGCGCCTGGCCTGGGTAGAGACTTCTAAATAAATATTCCTACATTTGCTCCATTTTAGTCTGGGTGTAAACCTGGCAAGCCTCCCTAAGGATGTCAAGCTTAGAGTACCTTGCACATGCCTGTGGTTTGCAACTTCTGCTAATAGAAATACAGGTAATCATACATACTTCGTAGCCAGAATATGAGAATCAAATGAGGTAATATATCTGGAAATGTCCAGAGTGCCGTAGAAATGCAAGGTTGTAATCACTGCTAGCTCTGATGTACATTTCTATAAAT